CAGTGAGCAAGGGAATGCATCCCCTCACTCCTCAGGAGCACCGAACTTGCCCCAGATTTTGGGTTAGTTGATTTTGCCATGACTTCAGCTCTCTGGTGGGTTTGATAAAAGTTGTGAATTTGCAGACATTCAGGGGATATTTTGCTGTATGTATGGAAACAACACCTGTCTGGCTTTCTATACTCTAAGTGGAAGCTGGAAGTCTGACAGACATAATCTTTAAATTTTGCCAACCATTATGCAGAGGGATTGGAGACTTTCAGAGGTTAGGCACATTCCCCATGTGCAAGAAATCTGCACCAATGCCTTTTGAGCTGCAAACACAAGTCCATGGAACACTGTGATGCTGACTGTTTATTTAAAGAGATAGTGTGTTAGGTTTAACTAGTGACTCTCCACGGGAGGTTTTATATTCCTCTTTCTATTTATTCTCGAATGTAGATGTAAACTATAGTGTAGAACCTACTGAGCAGACTGAGGGAAGACTATGGTAGAACAGTTTTTTTATGAGACCTACTCCCATCTCTCTCGCAGAGGTTTCAAATTCAGATGCCTGTAGGGGCCAGGCCAAGAAATATAAATGAGTGAAATGTGCTGGGTCTGTGTTCACTCTCATTTTCCCTGGCATTGTGGCCCTAATTTTGATAGTGGCAGGGATGTCGAGAAATATTTCTTTATAAGAAAAACAGCAGTGCAAGCAGAATATGTGGGTACTTTCCCTTTCTGCCTGAGGACTGGCAGAATTTATTTGACCTGCATTTTTTTTTTTTTTTTTAAGTGAGACATGCATAGTGATGGTTCCTGGACATGCCTGTTGTCTTCAAGCTACCCATGAAAGTTACCTGTCACCCCGAAGTGTCATTCAACATTAAATATTGATCAAGCACCCCTTGCTTGCCAGGCTCTGTTCTAGGCTCTGAGGGTGTGACAATGAGTTAAATAAACTCTGTCCTTGTGGAGCTTACATTTTGGTTTGTGGCTTGCAGCAGAAGAATGGGAACTGGAGACCAGGAGAGCAATGCTTAGGGAGTATGGTTCTAGCTCACCATGGAAGTTGACCCTAGTTTGCCAAATTTTTTAATTTTCCAAGAGAAGCCAGAAGTTGGATTTTTAGTGCCAATTTTCTTATTTTTAAATATAAGCTCAATATGTTTTAAATCACTGTGGAGGTTAAAAAAAACAACAACAACAACAAAAAAACATGTTTGCAGACAGGATCTGGCTTGCGACCTCTGTCTCACACCATCTTTGCCCTTGCTGGTCTGCTTGAGAAGAAAAATGCAATGAAATGACAGCTGTAGCCATGTTAATTCTCTTCTCTGGAAGCAGTGAACCAGTTGTCAGAGATTTGGCAATGCCAGGATTTAATTTGCAATACAAGGTCAACAATTTCGGGGAAAGCCATTTTCAAATCAGCCTTAAAACCAACCAACCAAAAAAAGTGACTATACAGATTAGACTGATTATTACCCTAAGCTCAACAGAACGTGGTCAACTGTTTACTGGTAAGGAGGTGATATTGGAATTACTGACCTGCTTGCAACTTTGAGGCTGTCCTTAAAGACACCATTCCTATGGTAGTCCACTTGCATTTCAACTAACATGCCACATCGTGGTCCCAATTTGTAGCCATAGTGACAATTTTGTCATGGTATCCATCAGTTCGTTAAATCCAATGTTCTTAAAAGGCCCAACCCAAGGCTTCTGGTACATGTACAGTATTTATAACTGTTACTTAGTTTCCTTTCCTTCTGAAAAGGAAGCTATTTGGGGACTTTCTTGATAATGTAAGACACCAGGCAGTTCAGCAAATACATCAGTTCTCTAATTGACTCCATATTTTGCCAGTTCCACAAGTGATCAGTTTTTATTTTGAAAGTTTTTTTTTTAAATTATTTATTTGCTTGAGAGAGAGTGAGAGAGATCAAGAGAGCAGGCCCAGAGGGAGAGGGAGAAGCAGGCTCCCCCCTGAGCAGTGAGCCCCACGAGGGACTTGATTCCGCTACTCCGAGATTGTCTCCTGAGCTGGAGGCGGATGCCTAACCAACTGAGTCTCCCAGGCACCCCAAAGGATCAGTTTTTTAAGTGGTGTGGTGGCTGCTCATTCATCACTAACTTGTTGAAATTATTATTTGCCAACAGAGTCTGCTCATTGTTCTGCAAACTCATCCTCACTTCCGTTGCCATTCTGTGCTCATAGGGCTCTGCTATCTCTCTTTTTCTATTTAGATCCGAATCCTGCCTGTTTCTCAAAGTCCGCTCTGCTGCCTGTGCTTCTTTCTCACTGATTTGGCACCGCTGGTCCCCGTAACTTGTTTCACCCCTACGCCTCCGTCTACCCTCCTTGCCACAGCTCTCAGCAACTGAAGGGTCATTTTTGACCTTTTAACAGTTCCTTCCCCCTTCGCAGGCCTTCAAGTTAAATTCCTAGAAATTGCACCAGGCACACACATTTGTGAGTCAGTCATTTAGATTAGCAATGACACCTTGTCTGTATCTTTGTTATGTCCTACAGCCTGGTCACACGTTCCCTGAGAGTCCCCTGGCCCAGAGCGGGCAGATCATTCTTCCTTGCTCCTATTCTACAGTTTGTAAGGGATCTGACCCAACTTGAAGGGATCTGACTCCCAAATGCGAGCTTGTAGATACATGGAAACTAGGGCTTTCTGTTGCAAATAATGCCTGATCTAAGCTCCCAGAGATTCCCAAGCAGGGAAGCATTCTAGGTCATACCCTTTGCTTGTCAGACAGGGAAATATACAATTGTACAGCTTTTCAAATGATACACCAATTGGTAAAATAAGTAAGTGAATGGATGAATGAATGAATGAATGATACACCACTCAGTTCTATCAAAGCACTTTCCAGATTTAGCTACCTATTTTATATGAGAGAATGAAAGGATTCTGACCTTATTTCATAATTTTATGGAGTCTCACTGTATTAACATCGCATGCTAAGTATCTTTGCTTAAAGATGTCTAAAATGCAGCCTTCTGTGAAGGGACAGAAGTGGGCTGCCTTACTGGAAAGTTTTCTGAGCACTATATTGATGTGAGTGGAGACACCCTTGTTCTGTGGCTCATACATTTCGGATTCTATGTCTGCAGAATAAATTTATGATGAGAATAACATGAGTCACTTGACAAATTACAGATATTAGCTATTAGAATAATACCAAGTTTAAGGAGCCCAAAGAAGATAGATTCCCAGTTGACATATATTCCCAGAAATATGTGCCCTGAGATTACTCTTGAGTCACTACGCCATGGGAAAAAAACAAAAACAAAAACAAAAACAAAAAACAAGAAAGTCAAATCTCAACTTTTGCTAACTGGCTCAAATTTTCTCATTTTGATGTAGGTGTTTTTCCTTTGAAAAATTTTTTATGCATTTCCTTTCTTTTTGGAAGTAAGCTATATAATCTTCGAATCTTCAGTGTTACTCATACAGAAAAAGGTAAGTTTTAAAATTAACACTAGAAGGATTAAAATCTTTCATTTTTCAGCATTGTTAGCCATGTAAGAGCTCATATGCCCATGGTGAAATGACTTTTTAAAACTATGACTGAGAGTTCCAAATTAAAAAAAAAAAAGTGTTACATATATCATTCATATATGATGTACTTTGTTTTACTGCCAAATACTGATAACCATTTCAAAAGGGAAAACTCCCAGTTGAAAAGCCTCCTTTGGTGAATGCTCCTTTAATAAATGCTGGGCCTATCTTGCTCATTAGAAAAAATGCCCACTTATTATTATTCCCACACATTATTATAATCATCTGGTCCCAGACTGAGTTCTTGTGTAGATTTTTATCAGTTGAGATAATATCCAATATAATATCTTATAGATTAAACTTGATGATTTATCACATGGCTCTAAGGAGGTTTTTTGGCTATTGTTCTTTTTGTTTTTCAGTTTCCATATGGTTATTTTATCAGATTGTTTGAACATTAAATTTATCCTCGTTTGCAATTCAAAACAGCAACCTGAAGCTTGCTCTGTGTGTGTGTGTGTGTGTGTGTGCGCGCGCGCACGCACTTACTTTTTATTATACATCTGTTTTCTCAACTCTTGGGGTGCACAATTTCCTGGAAATGTTCAGACTACCGCGATACACGTCAGGAGAGAACTTTTCTGTTGTGCTGCCAGTTCTGAGCATCTGAATTTTGGTTTGTTTGGATTGTGGCTTCTTTTTGTTTTTGAAGTTTGCATTCTTTATTTGTAACAACTGTATTTTAATTAAAATCAAAATCCAAGAAGGTTTTTTTAAAGATTTTGTTTATTTATTTGGTAGAGAGAGTGATCACAAGTAGGCAGAGAGACAGGCAGAGAGAAAGGGGGAAGCAGGCTCCCTGCTGACCAGAAAGCCCCATGAAGGGCTCGATCCCAGGACCCTGAGATCATGACCTGAGCTGTAGGCAGAGGGTTAACCCACTGAGCCACCCAGGTGCCCCAAATCCAAGGAGTTTTAAGAACGCTAAAAACCACCTCCTTTCATGAGAACTTATGTATCACATCTCTTTGCTGAGTGAAGTTCTCAGAATTTAATCCGTTTGGTCCCTAAGTGCATGTATTTTTTGTGGACTTTATCAGGTATCATCCATGTAGGACAGTTACAAACCTGGATCCAATCTTTAAAAACGTAATGTAGTCAAGCTAACTAAAGCATCAACAGCCAATTTTTAGGATCCTTTTGTTGCCATCTGAATTAGTCACCTTTTGGGCATAAAACGAAGTTTAGGTTGTCTTGATCAAGGCTGAACTTTTCCTAGTAAAACGTTTTGTGAACATTCACAGATTCTCAGTTTTCAGGAGTCTGGCTCCAGAAAGGAGAGTGACAGCAGACACACGCCCCCAGATCCAAGCCTGTTGACTCGACGCTGAGACTTCTTGGGACCATTAAGAAGCATCATAGCTCTCTGGCCCCAAATTGCTTCATCTATCTTATGGCCAGACCAATTTATTCCAGTTTTTAAATATTATTTTTCTTTTTTAGAGGGACTCTATTTAAATCTGTGCATTGCCGAGGGCAAGGAGCCAAGAACATGGATGGAGAGGTAAGATGGATATAACTGTAGTTCACACTTTGATTTTTCCCTTTAAAAGCGACCTTTTAAGCTTTATTTTTCATAATATTATCCACGGACGAGACGTATAGTAGCGAGGAGAAATTTAGCCTCCTTTGTAGCACTCACGAGTAAAGAGGATGATTAACGAGTGTAGCAGACAATGTAACAGCAAAAGAGAGTCTGTAGAAGTTAAACAAAAGTGCCTTCAGAACTTCCAAGGATTCCCATGATCCATAGTAGGACCTCATTGTGCCCGTACACTGTCTCTAGTTTTGATTAGATTTATAAACACAGCACCACATATTTTCATGTGGCTTATCGCCCAAGGGCAGAATTAGATTGGCCGCACTGAAACTGTGAGGCTTGTGAGTTTGGGGCAAGGGCTAGAGCGAAATAAGTAGTGTAATTGTTTTTGTGGAGTGACCGTGGGACCTCCTCTGTTCTGAATTACACATGGCTCAACCCTTTGACCTACCCAGACTCGGCAGTGGCTGGCAGGACTCCGAGAGTCCTGTGAGAGGGTCCAGCCTGACGAGCTGGAGTGTTATCTGTCAGGCGAGATGTACGCCAACAGCCGTCGAAACTCGAGAAGTTACCAGTGAGACCGCATTTGTGATCACCTCGACGACATTAAACTGGGCACCGTATCAGTTGTCATTTCCACAGGAAGTGCCGATGTGAGAGATTTTTGGAACCCAAATGTAGTCTGAATCCTTTGATTAAAATTACATATATATATGTATTCTGTTTATATATATATATATATATATATTCAGCATAGCTTCTGTTTATATATTCAGTATATATTCCATATGTATGTATATATACACAAACATATACACACATTTACATGTTTGTATTTATATAAATTTTTTTTACTAAATTTTGCATAATCTTCAAGGATATTTTGGCAAATTATCCAAAATTTACTATTATGATTAAAAAAGAAAGCTTGAGATTTGGGAAAATGTCATAGGCTTTAAAGTTCTTTCATCACAGTGAATTTAATTTAAATTCTTTAAAAATAGATGGCAGCCCACAGGTGTAATTCTTGAAAGCTAAGGGAGTGCAGGGGACTTCCAGAAAAAGTTGGAGAGAATCATGTGCAGACACTTGTGCATTTGTGGAGAATGTCTCTGTGATTCACATGATGATATCACATATACATCTCTCTGTTTATGATTTTGAACTCAGTCACTTGAATTTTTATTTTCTATCCAGTGAATAACATTTTCAAAGGTAATATAAGCAGAGAACACTTTCCGGCCCTTGGGGGTCATTTCAGAAACTTGTCCTGTTTCTGTCACGGCCAAAAATATTTTATCAACTTTTTTTTTTTTCATGGCCAGTTTTACAAATTAAAGTTCTCTCTAGGTATTTTGTGCTTACAACAACTTGAATATAACCCAGCATTTAATTTTTTTGTTTCTCATCTGAGGCAGCTCAGACTGAATGTTGATTCAATTTTCAGTTACATACATGATATTTAAATTTTTCTTTGAAGAATACACAACTTTGGGGCACCTGGGTGGCTCAGTAGGTTAAGCATCTACCTTCTGCTCAGGTCATGATCTCCAGATTCGAGCCCCACATTGAGCTCCCTGCTCAGGAGGGACTCTGCTTCTCCCTCTGCCTCTGCCTCTCCAAATCCTCCTGCTCTGTCTCTCAAAGAAAATAAATAAAATCTTTTTTATTTTTTATTATTTTTTAAAGATTTTATTTATTTATTTGACGGATAGAGATCACAAGTAGGCTGAGAGGCAGGCAGAGAGAGGGGGAAGCAGGCTCCCTGCTGAGCAGAGAGCCTGATGTGGGGCTCGATCCCAGGACCCTGGGATCATGATCTGAGCCAAAAGCAGAGGCTTTAACCCACTGAGCCACGCAGGTGCCCCATTAAAATCTTTTTTAAAAAAGAATACACAACTTCAACTACTTTTTTTTTTTTTTTTTTGCTTTGTATTTTTTTAGTCTAGGAATTCAAAACCAGAATAGGGAGGTCCCAATCAGATTATTTAGGAAAGGGGGAAAAACCCCACTAAAATATCCTGTGAGCCTCCCCCTCCCCAACAAAACTGCATTCAACCCCACCCGGTCTTGGTCTCATTAGCAGTGAAGAGTTTGCTCCCTATATAATCTAACATGGAATGCTTAGAGCAGACAGGTGCAAATTGCAAGCTGTTTCACTTTGGCTGTTATCCCTTAAACAGACAAAGTAATAGACTGGGGGAACAAAAAAGGTTCCAGCTCAAGCTGCATAAATGAAAGTCTTAACAGGGACAGACCAGCTGGCTAGGAGAATTCAATGTGGTGAATACTAAATATTACCTTTCTGCCACTTGCCAAGGAAAATGGCTTCAATACCACCCCCCCTCACTTTTATTACTGCGATGATGTTCCTTCAAAACAGTCCTTTGCTTTACTGTAAAGGCAATGCTAGGGCCGAAGTGGAGGAGAACAGAAGCCAACATACCTGTTCCTGTTTACCACCATTACACTCCTCCAAGCAATTCAGGCATGATTAAGTTCCTGGAGGTGGACCAGACTGACAGTATTTCCAGCCTTTTTTTTTTTTTTTTTTTTTGGCTGATCCAAGCAAAGCCCCAGAGCAGTGGAACAACTAAAACAATCACTACCACCCATTCCTCCCCAACAGGATAAATCAGCTGAGCTAGTCTGCTGGGGGAAAAAAAAAAAAAAAAATCCAACCCCCGCCCACAAAAAAAACAAAACAAAAAAAACCCCCACAAAACAACAACAACAAAAAAAACCCAAAAAAACCCAAACGAACAAAAACCCCAAACAACCCCCCCAAACCAAAACAAAACAAAAACAGTTGAAAACAAAAACATGAAACACTTGCTCCTATTAGGAACACCTCAATTAATTTCATGGAAGAGACGGGCCATGCCCGAATGTGGAGGCATCTAAGGTATGTTTCTGAAAGGAGGCCCTAACTCGGTCATGCCAAAGTGGCTTCGCTTTGTGACTTGCCCCGCGTGCGCTGGAACGGTTGTCGGGAAGCTGGAACCCGGACGTGCGTGCGGAGGCCCCCGGCGGGGTCTGACTGTGAGGTCTCCCCGCGCGCGCGGGCAGGGAGGCCGACAACCCCCAGCCGGCCTTGTTTACAGCCGGACAGGGGGAACAGCTAGACACAAATGAGGGCTGACGGTTTCATGAAGCACAGTCGGTTGATCCCAGATGCAATCTGACTGCCCTGAACTGAGCCCTGATTTGTGCAGTATGCAGAACTCACTTCCTTGCTGGTCTGTGCCCACCAGGCTCCGAGCCGCGCCCGCCGCGCCCCTCGGCCATGGCTTTGAATGCAAGCCAAGCTGAGCACGGAGCCCGGGTACCCCATTCCTTCTGACAACAATCACATCCTTTTAAGAAACTTCGTGGGTTTTAGCTCCTCACTGGTTATAAATGAGTTTGCTGTAGTTGTTCTTGTTTGCTACTGTATCTCAGTGTTTTGTTTTGTTTTGTTTTTGTTTCAAGTTGACCGTGTTGCATCAAAAGGTATTTGTTGCTTTTTAATGAAAAGGAAAATATCATCCAAAACACTGTCAGTTCTTACTAATTCCAGGCAGCCCCCCCCATTCAAATCCCAAAGTATTAACTTGCTTTTTTTCACACCACATTTCTGTATTTAGTAGCATAACCTTAATAAGTTATTTTGAAAAGAACTGATTTATCACTACTTAAGCACACATGTAAAATAAATGTCTTATCAGACACTGCTGGCTTCAATTTGATTTGGAGTTAGATTATATCAATTAAATAGAAATGTAAAGGGAAACAGCCATCAAGTCTATCCAGAGTAGTTTCAGCCGAGATTTCTAAACATTTTTCTTCTCTTCAGAAGGAAGGAGACATCAACGGGAAACAGGAAGAAACTGATGATTAAATTTTGTTTCTTAACTTACTGTTTCAAATACTATATAGGTATTTAATAAGGTAATACAAACTTACTAAAAATATTGTAAGTTCCATAAACAAGCCAACCTCACATGCGGTCAGGGATGAAGGAATGGATGCCTTGCCTGAGCTGAGGAGATAAAATCTCATCAGGAAAGAGAAAAATCTCAGTGGAGAAGAGGTGCATGAAATCACAGTTTACACCCTTGAAAATGCCCATGTGTGAAGGAGAGAGAGAGAGAAGAGCAAAGAAATTGACCAAGTGGAGAAGTGGGAAATCCCTGCCAATTTCCCCTTACACATGTGTTACTAGTAAAGAGGTCACAAAACACAAACCATCGCTTGGTAATCCTCTCGAAAAATTTCTCTCTGGTGTGTACAGTCAGACTTGGCCTGCCTTTGAA